GATGAAACAATATGTATCAAAGTGTTTATCATCGTTTACTACTTGCAATTATTTGTATTGGATCTAATCAAGAGTGATTGGATTTAATTATTACAAATTGTGAAATAGCAGTTTTTATTACGTGAAGGAATTCGATACTTTCATTGATTTTCTTACTGGGTAATTCTGTTGCAAAGTGACCTCTCTATATGGTTTCCGAGAAAATCAACAAGCGCTTAGTAGAAGCCAATCAGTGCTATTGACATTTCAATAAGCTCTGGTGTATTGAGAGTGTTTCATTAAGATGTTGCGATCGATTTGTTTCACGATGCTTATCAGTGACATGGAAATGGATAGAGAGATGTTTGATATGTTTGATACAATAGCCAAAACGTATTCTCTAACCAAGTAACAGAAAGGTAGGATGAAAAATATAATGAATAAAACATTGTTTACGGTGAAAAAATCTTATTTACGATGGAATGATTTAGTAAAATGATTGATAAAAGTTAGGATGATGATAAACAGCTTGAAAATAAAATTTGATTGTTTTCATGATTGAAAACCATAAACACCCGTCAAGTATTTCAAAATAAAAACTTATGAAAAATCTTCAGCCTCCATGGTTCATTACAAATAAGCTAATAGCTAAAGAATTTAATGTAGTCCCATTGCATGTTCATATTAAAATACTCTCTCGACAAGTTTCTTCTTTCATTTGTACTCTTGACTTTTCTCTTCAAGCTCCCCATTACATAGGTTTACACTTTCCCGGGGATGAATTCAAACCTCCAATGTTATTTTCCTCCCCCAAATTTAAATTAATTGATAATAAGCCTTATCACATAATATGTTCTAACTAAAGTTCAAGGAAACGAACTTCCATTTTAAATTTTCGTTTTTATTCTAAAAGTCGCTTTTCGACTACTGAGGTCATATAGCGACCACTGTAAATAACATTGGGGTAACGGCATACGCACACACGCAAACCTTCATTCCCCGGCCGGGATGCGAACCTGCGTCTCTTTACGCATGAGGCAGCTATGGCTCTTCAGCCTTACCGACCTCGGCTATCCAAGCCTGCTTTATATTTCTTTAATATTTTAAAACTTGTAATAAAACGAATGTAAATTACAGTGCGCATTAAGGATGCTTGGTTGTGAAGTGAAAAAGTAATAATACAAATATATTAAAATATTGAAAAGAAACATTAAAAAATATTGAAATTGCTAGAAAAAAGTAATAGAACATTTATCATTGAGACCATAATGCAATAATTTTACAGAGGTGAGCAATGCATTGGGCCACGTTCAGCAGTACTGTAAAATTTAGGAGAGGGAAGACACATTGAAATTGTTTTTCGAACGTAACGGCACAATGTTTTGCTGTACTTCAACATACGTAATGGACATGAAATACGCTTGTAAAATCACAAAATACTATGCGTTATATTCGACTTATTACACGCCACACGTGCTCTGCTTAGTATGAAAAATTGTCGATTCAAATATTTTATATGTTTAATAACGATATCTAGTGATTTTGAGAAGACGTTTATATCTTTTTTTAGTTTACGTTTTGAAGTGAAATAAGGCATTTAATAAACTAAGCTAAATGAATACCTACTAAAACTGATTTCACTTGTTATCGAACATTTTATTTTTGTCTGTAAATGGCACTTTTGATGTGTAAATTAGAACGTTGAAGTTTTTGTTAGTCAAATCACTGCTTCATGGGCGTGCTTTGATGAACACGGCACGATTTGCATACGCAGTAGCGTCCCGGTACCTTTTCTAAACCTTCTAGCATGTTTGGGAGAAGGTATTCGTACTCACGCCAGCAGAGGTGCGAAGTAGACATTGATTTTCTGTTTACATTTTGGAAAGTTGTAAACGTGACCGGGATTCGTTGTTCAGAATATTGTAATCACACTCCGATTAATAAACGTATGTGCAGGTAAATAAAAAATATTCTAAACATTTTCGTGTTATATTTCGTATCATTTTGGGGAAAGAATAATTGGCGTTAAATATTTTGATGTAGTTACTGAGTGTTTATTCTCATTCTAATCTATCGGGTTGGGACAGGTATTTTGGTTGATAAAAGATGTTGGCACTGATTTTAGAACTACGTACTATGAGAAAAAAAACTCCCCGAGATAAACTTTCTCGTGGTGGCAATTAAATAAAACTGTATTGGTACATTAGTAGTGTTTGTATAGGACAGATATGACCCCGTGGTTGAAGATATCGGGTTGGGGAAAAAAATTCCGCAAACCGATGGGTGGGTCGACTGCTACTCGTTCCTACCGCGATAAAAACATGCACTACACTACTAGGACTAATAAGTTGACGCATCCGGAATCACTATTCCCCTCCTTGCGCATACAAAATCGCCAGTGTTGGAGCTACGTTAGTACCTAGGCCAACACCGTCCACCCCAACACTTCGTCGTACATTACTAATCCGGAAATGCTCTTTGCAGGTGAGTGAGAAATGATAAGGGAGCGTAATCTAATGCTAGCTTCTTAGTATGTTCAGTTTTGCGTTTTCAATCATTTGTGCTGTCCCTTACCAATACAGCGTGTGAATATGATGTGCGTGACCTAGATCGTTCTAGGGGATTTTTTCGGAGTTGTCAGTTTGCACTGATGTTCGATAATATCGAAAGGGTATGTTTGCTTTTATGGAATGATAAACGATGAGAAAGAATATATTTTATGAGAGGATAATAGTTGTTAACTGTATGTTGATAGAACTGCATGAAGTAATTTGTTCTTGTCTGAAAAGCAATGTGTTGTTGCAATATAAAGTAAAACGCTTGGAGGTATTTTTGTAAATATGAGAGAAAAACATTTGACTTTTTTTATCTCTCAAACTGGTGGTTAATAACAGTATTGTAAACTTTATCAACTTGAAGTTCCATGTTAAATCGCACTCGCATATCCAACTTTATATGAGTCCAGCCACAAAAGCAACTCTCGTACGAGTTTAATTACCACAATTTGCAGTTGGGAACTGTTTGACATCAAACAAATTCAGCACAAATAATGGAAGTTAGGTACAAGTGCAGCTTTATGTGTTATATGGAATGGCTACGAAGAAGAGCGAACACAATAATTTTGCTGTAGGCTGTCCGCGCATCTTTGTGTTGTAGTAATTAACATTTCCACCATCCTGTCATGTTTTCTTAGGGTTGGAATTGTGAACGGTATCCAGTGAAGAACAATTGTGATTTTGTCGCCTGTGATAAATTTTAACACGGAAAGCCAGCAACGCATTCTTCGGCATATTTACGGCTGAACTCTTGTCGTTCTCCCCGTACTTTTCACGTGCAGGGCGCAACCCCTCTCCAAGTGATATGTCAAATGGGAATTAGCTAACCCCGAAAGGTTCAGTTCATTTGCACGTCAACATAAAAATGCCATTCATGATGTAAGTGCCGATCAGGGCTTTCGCAGACTGGGCCCGAGGTCGCTCGATAACAGCACCCAGTACGCGGCCCCCTGCGCTCTGCGGCTCTTGGCCGTGTGCTCGGCGGGCGGCCGCCTCCGCGTGCGGATGTTGGTCGGCGGCGAGGCGCTTCGCCCGCGCCCGTCGCTTGGCGTCGAACGCACGTCGATTTGGTGCGCGCCGCGGGCGATGCGGCCCGGTTGCGCCGCCACCGGAGAGAGACAGGGCGCGAAACGGTGCCTGGGAGAGACAGGGAGCACCATACTGCGAGAGATATAGAGAGAATGCGAAAGGAAGAGAGAATGTGTGTGAGAGAGAGAGAGAGAGAGAGAGAGAGAGAGAGAGAGAGAAATGCGAGAGAGAGAGAGAGAGAGATGGCGAGAGAGAGAGGAGAGAGATGCGAGAGAGAGAGAGAGGAATGCGAGAGAGAGAGAGAGAATGCGAGAGAGAGAGAGAGAATGCGAGAGAAGAGAATGGGAGAGAGAGAGAGAAGCCGAGAGAGAGAGAGAAATGCGAGCCGAAGTGAGCGACTGCGAGCGTAGAAGAGAAGCGAGGGAGAGGAATGCGAGAGCGAGAGAGAAAGCGAGGCGAGAGAAGATGCGAGAGCGAGAGAGAATGCGAGAGAGAGAGAGATAATGGAGAGAGAGAGATAATCGCGAGAGAGAGAGATAATTGCGAGAGAGAGAGAGATAATGCGAGGAGAGAAGAGAATGGCGAGAGAGAGAGAGATAATGGCGAGGAGTAAGAGAGAGATAATTGGGCGAAGAGAGAGAGAGAGATAATGCGAGAGGAGAGAGAGATAATGCGAGAGAGAGAGAGATATGCGAGAGGAGAGAGAGATAATTGCGAGAGAGAGAGATAATGGAGAGAGAGAGAGATAATGCGTAGGAGAGAGGATAATGCAGAAGAGAGAGAGATATGCGAGAGAGAGAGAATGCGAGGAGAGAGAATGGCGAGAGAGAGGAATGCGAAGGGAGAGAGAGAGTAATGCGAGAGAGAGAGATAATGCGAGGAGAGAGAAGAATTGCGAGAGAGAGAGATTAGAGAGAAAGAGAAGAGAGAGTGGAAAGGAGGAGTAGGAAGAGCGAGGACGAAAGAGTGAGTTGAAGCGAGAGAGCAGCTCGCGCGGCAAGGACAGAGAGATCGAGCCTCGTGGCCACTTGATACATTGGCAGTATTGGAGGGAACAACTAATAGTGCTATACACTTACATTTTTTGCTTATTTTGTGCTTCGGGACAGAGCAAAAGCTACGCTATTACTCTGTGTGTAATGAATGTTATTCCGCGAGTGGAGGTGTGCTCCCCAATGGATGATGGATAGACGGATGGACCTGTATGTCTAACTTGCGCGGATTCCGTTCTAGTTATCGCCCCGGTCGGGGCTGCGCTAAGCCCTCGACTGTTCCTCTGCTCACAGTGGTAGAGCAGCGTCTAAAGTGGAGGCCGCCTCCACCACGCTATTGCCACTGCCATCGCCGATTGCTGATCTGCATTGCCATCGCCTCTGGCTCCACAGTACGCCCCAAGGCCTCAGACACGGTAAGGGTTACGACACGCTCGCGTCTCAGCATCGCGCCTCCGCCTCGCTCCGCCTCCGCTCCGCATCCGCCTCCGCCTCCGCTCCGCGCTCCGCCTCGCCTCGGCGCCTCCGCCCGCCCTAGGTGAGAACGTCTCATGCCGCGTGCCGGCCCCGCCCGCCCCGCGCCGGCCCCCGCCCGCCCCCGCCCGCCACCGCACCGCCACGGCCACGGCCAACGCACCGCACCGCTTACGGCACCGGCCCCGCGCTGCACGCATTTACCCGCGCCTCCGCCGCTGTCGCTTCGGTTCTCACCTTTGCCTCCCTGGCGAGGCCGTCACTGTTGCACTCAGTTTCAGCTGCATCCTCTTTACCTCTTTCACTCGATCTCCCCGCCACCTCCTTCTCCACCCCGCCCACTCGTCCACGTTAGCCTCCAGCACTGACCCTTCCTCCTCTTTCTCGGCCTCCACCTCCCCCACCCCGTGTGTCTCCGCGTCCTCCGGAGCGCCGCGTCTGTGCTCCTCCCGCAGCGTCTTGCGCGGCGCGCCTGAAACAGCAGGCTGCGCGCGATAAGCCCAGCTCGTGTGAGGCGGCGGCGTCCCTTATCAGCGGCCGAGCGCGCCTTCGCCGGGGGGCGTGGGCGGGTGCGTGTCGCCGCGCTTGGCTGCGCTCCCGGCCACGCCCCCGCACCCGAGCGCGCGCTGCGCCTCGCCAGCGCCTGTGGCAACGGCTGCACTACTAATGCTGATATAACAGCATATACTTTCTCGTGCATTTTAACTGTTACGCGATATTGTAATATTGCACGAATTCGAAGTGTTTCCGACCTCCAAAAGGGTTTTCTCCGCGCTGGGTTTTCCACCTCCGGTCCACGAGTTAACACGCCAATTAGCCTCTACACCAAAAGTCTGGCAGCTACAATACACCCAAATTTCCCGACACTTTTTTTAAAGTTGTAGTTTCAATTTTCAAAAATGCATATATTTTATTCACATTATTTCAAGATGTTTTAAAGAACAGATTTCATTCAGGATAAAATCTATCATTATTATTATAAGTTTGCAATATAATTTTTTTCGGACCAGAGGAGCGTCAGAAAAAAGTGATGTTGATTGTGATGATGATCTGGCGGGGCTCGTAATTAAAGACGTAGCCTCTCCTGTTGAAATCGCCCCGCAAAAGAAATTAAATAATATATTTACAGATTCATGTATTTATTAATAATGGTTTTCGAAGTTTATGTAACGATCATCTCAATACTTTTCTATGACAGTTCGATAACGGTTGACCGTAATTCATTTGAAGCTGTTGATCGGGAAGAGAAAAGCGTTTTGCTTCCACTTCACTCCGCCATGAGGCCTGTGTAAAACGAGGAGGCGTGACGTCATGGTTTCACTGCACAGGCTTACCGGTGGACGAATGCTGCGGACAAGTAGCCTTCAAGGGTGGGGCGTAGAGTCTGGGCGTGTTCACTAGATAGCATTACTGTGCACCTCAGCGAGTAGCATTGAACACCTACTAGTTTTCTCAACATGCGGAAGGAGCGCTTCTCTCTTATACGTGTATCGGACGATTTTACGCATAGAAATACACTGCGTGCAATGCAAAATAATGCATTGCATTGCATTGCAGCCTTCCCCATTTAGAAAAACACGAGCAGCGGCTGATGGTGATGATTAGGACGCGGATTTTGATGACGTAAAACATTGCCAAAAATGATCAATAAAATGCTCTGAAAATGCTCTTAACGTTTTCTACTTATACCCAAAATTTCAGAAAGCGGAGCAGACATTAATGTTTTTCCAAATTTGTCATGTAATGGGGGGGGGGTATTTTGTTCTTTATCACATTACGCTCCATATTGTTTCTCGTCTATCTCGGAATCTATTCGTATGATTGGAGTTTGGTTTGCACTTTCGAATTTCTCTTAACGTGTTTTACTTATACCCAGAATTTAAGATGTTTTGTTTCTCGTCTATCTCGAAAACTATTCGTTTGATGGGAGTTTTGTTTGCACCTTTAAATTTCTTTTAAAGTCTTCTACTTACACTAAGAATTTCAGATGGCAGCGCCGAAATTAATAGTTTTTCCAAATTCGTCACGTAATGGGGGGAGGTGCTTTGTACTTGATTACTCAAGGCTCCATTTTGTTTGTCGTCTATCTCGAAACTATACGTATAATTGGAGTTTGGTTTGCACCTTAGAATTTCTCTTAAAGTGGTCTACATATGGCCAGAATTTCATACAGCGGTGTCGTAATTAGTATTTTCCCAAATTTGTCACGTAATGGGGAGGGGGTGTTTTGTACTTGGTTACTCGAGGATCCATTTTGTTTCTCGTCTATCACGAAAACTATTAATTTGATGGGAGTTTTGTTTTCACCTTTGAATTTCTTTTGAAGTGTTCTACTTACAGTAAGAATTTCAGATGGCAGCGCCGAAAGTAATATTTTTCCAAATTTGTCACGTAATGGGGGTGTTTTGTACTTGACCCCTCGAGTCTCCATTTAGTTACTCGTCTATCTCGAAAAATATTCGTTTGATGGGAGTTTTGTTTGCACCTTTGAATTTCTCTTAAAGTGTTCTACTTACACTAAGAATTTCAGATGGCAGCGCCGGGGTAAACGGTCTGTAATAGTAGTATAGCATCTCTAATTTGATATCCGTGAAAAATAGTTTTAGATGCAAAGTGACGAACGCATAAACCGACTGTGTGGCTTGCATGTCCCGCAAGTCCCGCCTGCTCCGTCGGGGCTGGTCGCACGCCGCCGGGCCTGGCCGTGCCGCCGCGCTGACCAAGGGCCACAACGGGTGCGTAGGTGACGCAACGGCTCAGAAGGGAAGGGGGGGGGGGGCGAAGTGTTTTCGTAAATTTCACTTTACGACGCTCCTATTCGTCCGATTTGCATGATTGTCACTGGGTTGAATTCAGGAAGCATGTCGCCATCGCGCTATAAGCCCACAATTTTTAATTTGTTCTCGGAAGTTTGAGAACTAATTTTAAATACGCGTTTTGGCTAGATTTTTAGAAAAAGGTCATCGTAGCGTAAATTCTATTTTAAAAAGGCGTCATATGCCGTTTACAGATCGAAAATCGGACCATTGGTTCAGACGTTATCAGTAAAGTAAATTCCCCTGTGATTGAGCTGCGATCTATTGAATTTTCCTACAAGTATTTTTCGATGCATTTAGTTTTAATGCAAGAGCATTTGGAATGCAAAGGAGAACAAAGGCTCAGTCAATACCAGTAATTTAATATGAACCAAAATCATGCTTTATATAATATTTTATTTAAATACCCTGAAATATGTCACACATTTTGCCATAGAAATATTAGAAAATTTCCTAGATAAACTGCTACATTTAGGGGAGTTGGCCCTAGAAAAAAAGTGGTCACCCTGTTATTCTTGAAAGTGTGCAATGTGACTTATCTTGACCTACTATTTAGTTGCTTACATGATATACAATTTACGTGATACTATTTAGTTGTCTAAAATAAATTATTTGCTCTGAAGGATACTTCGAATGTTCTGAATTCTATTATTATCTTTGTGACAACCCTACTCTTCATATGTAAGGAGTTAACCCTCTGACTAGGAGAGGGTTACTCAATTATCCCAACGCACATTGCTTTTACTAATTCGTTTAGAATTTCGATATCTTATACTACAGTTGTCCCATAATTCTCTACTTGGAACATCTTATCAGATGGTGTGCTGATGTTTTATAACTTGCGCTTATAGTTTCTTTATCCTCTTGGCGCCCTGTTTTCGTAATGTGATTTCAGGTTATGTTTACAGCAAGGGTTCGCGAGCATGACCTGAGAACTTCGCCTCCAAGTCATAGAATCTATATTGTTATAATTGTCAAAAATGTAGCATTAACTCAAGTTAATGGTTAATGTGATTAACAAAAACATTATTGGATTTATGGTAAAAATAATAAATCTATGATGATTTTTCCGTGGCGGTAACTTCGATACCCACTTGTATCCGACGGTTGCAAAAATAAAATAAGAATCTTATAGTACAATGCTACGGAAAGATGGCGGTTTCATACTATTTGTAAGCAGGCGCGGATCCACGGGGAGTGGAATGAGGGAACCCCCCCCCCTAAAATTGTTCAGTGACTATGAATTTTAACTTGTCACAAGACTTTCAAGAACAATATTTTCGGATTGTCATTAAAACGAATAAAATCATATCGCAGTATGAGCTGAGTGTAGCCTGTGACATTTCATAAAATCTGTAATATTCTATATTTGAATTTGAAATTTCTCCTCACAAAATTTGTATCTGGATCCGACCCTGTTGTAAGAAACCATCGACTCAAAATCCCCTATGTAAATCTGGAAAATAATTATACTCCCTAGGCTTGCACGCAACTGATTTAAAATGAAACTAGTGGCGCTGCTGGAGTACCTGTACATTATTTCTACCTTTTGCAATTTTCGAATATTCAGTGGGATAAGGGAAAATGAGACCTGTGCTACTCTTTTAAGTGTCCCTGGTTCTATGCGTGGAGAATATTTTAAGAAACAATTGTGAAACAAAATTATAAATCGCGTTCACTTCAAGCTAAAATTAAGTGAAAACTACTCGTTTTATTATCATGACCTGCTTAATGTCATTTTTAGAACGTATTTTATTTAAAAAATCTATAGAATTAATATTCTTCTTCGGAATATTAATTTTTTGCAATTTTCGAAAATATAGAGTTTTGCCGAAACTGGTTCCAGCATCAATTTGTTTCTATTGCCAGCAATTACCAGCATCAATTTATTTGCGATATAACGGCTATTTTCAAATATTGTTGGCAGTGAAGGTAAAATACTATTTGGTCTAAACATTTTCTGGTTTAGGATGATCTTTAATTTGTTCTAGAATAGATAATAGTATTGCCAATTTCAAACCTGAGAAAGTGTTTAAGCAAGCGTGGTAAATGGCAGTTATTGATTGATAGAGAATTTCCTTTACCAATCTAGTGGTAATTTTATCTGAATCGCTTACTTTCCTATTTTTAATTTTACTTATCACTTCAATCATATGAAAATGTAGTGGTATGTAATACCCAGAGTTGAATATGAATGTGATTTTGAAGTTATATTGTTCAGTCCAAACATCACCGATCATGTTCTTTAAAAAGGAAGATGCCTGGCAACAGCGAAATATTTTATGTCTACTTTTATCCTTAATGTAATTAGTCAAATATAATAAATAGCACTCAATTTGGAGCACATTACGCATCTATTATTCATTTCAAAATATTCGTTGCGTTTTTTCACTTAAAGTTAGGAGATGCTTTTTGGAGAAGAGGGTTGGCATGTGCTGGGTTCTAGCAGGGCTGTAAACCTAACTCGCGGTCGGAGTAGCGAAGCCCTGTTAGTGCGGGTCGGCGGCGTTTGAAACAGGCAGTAGAGTGATAAACGGGTTAGAGCTTGGCGGCGAGTTAGCCACACAGACATCGCTCTGTCGTGGAAACATAACTGCTGTCTGCCTAGAGTAGAGCGGCAGGGAACCAAACCTCATTTCGTGACATCTCGCTGATTGCAGTTAGAGCTTCTGCGTTATTAATTATTGTTGAGTTCTTTTTGTAAACAACTGCAATGACTTTCCGGTGTGAATGCATTGGGACTATGTATGATATTTCTAGTTTCTTCGGAGTTACCCGATTGAAAATGAGTTCTTGGTTTACACGTATTTAGGAATATTGAAGACATGTTGAATGTTGGGACTCTCTGGCGTCACGTGACGTACCAACATTATTTAGTCTTGGAACGACGTGGTAGTACTGCAGATATTTTTCTATCTATTATTTTGTAAAACCCTGCATTTGATTTCCAAAAAAATGGCAGAGAAAAATCTCTTAATGGTGTTTTTTATAAAGTCTGTATTTGTAAATTGCATTGTTATCTTCAAAATACGCAGCGCCTAATTGGCATTAATGCATTGACAAACGTCTATTCAATAAACACAGAATATTTAAACTGCTCTTCTCTCTCTCTCTTTTTACCTCTCGAAAGGAAGTCCACTCGACCGTCGCTCATGAATACTGTTGCAGCAGCTCTTCTCGCGCTTATGCCATCACTTTAAATCGGCTGCTGACAAGCAGAACGAAACGTGATTAAATGCAAATTAAAAACATATTTCCTCCGGAGACTTCCATATTCATTTTTTACAGCCCCACCACCCCTAGTCCCGTCCACCTACCGGACCCCTCTTGCCCGCGGTCCCAACCCCGCCCACTGCCCCACCTCGCTGCCACCGCCACCGCCACC